GACAAATAATCCAACTGAAACCGGCATGGACAATGACTGTTTTAAAAATGCGCTTATCCAGAAAAGCCTGGTTAGGACACTTTACGGGCAGAAGAAACATTTCTATTAAAGAAATTATTATAAATATCTGTCTTTTTATGCCTTTAATAGCTACTAACTTGAATTGTTATTCAAATTAATTAATCAATTATTTTTTATATTTTATTGTAATGTAGAGACAAAGCTTTCAGTGACAATCTTGTATTGCTTTACAATTATATGTAAAAAAAAAAAAAAAAAAAAAAAGTCTGAATATGATATTTGGCCTCAAATCATCTGAGGCCTGGCGCCCCCCCTGCAATATTTGGCGTCCCCCCAAGGGGGGCGCGCCCCCCAGGTTGGGAACCACTGATCCATGTAATCATACATCTGGTTACGTACACAGTTACAGTTGGGCCTCTGTTATCATGTGCTACTCTGATATAGAAAGAGTACATTCAGTATTTTCCCATGTATATGTTTTATATTTGATTTTGTTGCATCGACTCAGTTGTGTTGTGTCTTACCTGTCAGAGAGAAACCATTGTTTGTTTTGTTGTATTTTTGTTGTCATACGTTTTACCTCTTTGTGTCTGTTGGCCTGGTCAGATGTTATGTTTCGCTGTGTTGTATGAAAAGTGCTATATAAATAAAGCTTTATTATTATTATTATTATTAAGGTGCTGTCCTCGCTGGCCTCCACGGGGGACCTCGATTCTGGCTCAGTGCAGACCATCTACGTGCTGCAGGGCGACGGAGGCACAGAGACCGTCATGATCCCCTCCGATCAGTTCGGCAACATAGACGGCAGCTCGCAAGTGGTCATCCTGCCCTCCTCTGTGCTGGGAGGGCAGGGCATCAACGTTCCCACCATCACCATGGACGGAAACGAAATCACCATGGTGGAGACGAGCCAGTCGGAGCAGCACGCCATCGAGTTCATCGTGGAGGAAACGGTGTAATCGAGACATTAAATACTATTTTCAGTAGAGAAAAGGCTGAAAGATTAATCGACTGTCGAGTTAAAAGTTTGAGTTATTACCATAAATGTATAGTTTGATTGTTTGACTGTGTAGCAAAACTATTTTACAGCTTGAGAGGAACATCTAATAACATTGTTCAAACAGTGTAAAATAAATGAATCAAAAGTCATACACAGATGAAACCTTAAGTACCTTAAGTTAATATTTCAAACTGATTGGAAAACAGGTCATAAAATTGGCCCCTCGATTATAAACGGACATCGGAGACCCCTTTTTTATTAGGGGAAGACAAGTGGTGTTAGCCCCTGAAATGTCTATTGCTTTCTTTATAATAAAACGCTTCCACTTTCACACTTGTAAGCATCCATCAATTTATAAGGTAGATGACACCGGGGCATTGCCCTCATCCTGTCAGATGGGATTGACTTTATAGGTCCTGCTGTAAATTGCCGCTTCTGCCTTTTGACAAACATTACGAGGTCCTTTACTGAGACCAGTCACTGTACAGCTTTTCAAACCACTCAGTTTCTCTCTGTCACACTTATACTCGCGAAAAGGTAGAACAAAGTGCTGTTGTTTGTATAGATCAATCGTTATGTTCCAATCATTTGTAGGACATTGTGTTATTGATTGCATTTGCCTTGTAATTACACACAATGATAACAGGGAGATGGCAAGATGTACGATGCTTTAGCTGAAATACAGCGTTAAGCAGTGGCAAGTAGTGCAATGAAATCATCCAGCACTTGCTGTAAAGTTATCAAAAATAATGATCCTATTTGTGTCTAAATGGGAAGAGGCATAATGATATAAGTTTTGCCAGCGCTGCACTAGCCCATTATACGATTCTAAAGCGCAGTTTACGGCTGTCTCCTACCCAGTGATTGCTGACAGGGGGGTTTGAAGCCACACACGCACGCAGAGGCACTCAGTCTTAGTTTGTTTTCATGTCATGGAGGGAGAAATGCTGATGATTGTGATTGGTACTGAAATGGGAGAAATGGCAGAATATCTGCAGAGTGAGAGGCATATTGGGAAATAGAGGACACCACAGGAGCGAAAAGAGAAGCCGGTGCCAAGAATTGAGATGCTCCTCAACGCTCAGCCTGAGAGAGTCAACAGGCAGCCAGTCGAGAAATTCATGCTATTTCCACCCGTCCTAGAAAACCTTGAGAGGTAATATTCTGGTAGAGTGCCGTTTATCATACCTGCTGCCTATCGTTGAAAATGAAAACACTATATATATATATATATATATATATATATACACACACACACACACACACACACACACACACACACACACACACACACACACACACACACACACACACACAAACACACACACATGCACGCGCGCACACACGCAAGTAGATAAAAAATGA